AAACTTTCACATATCCTTTAAACATGATCTTTTTTAGCTTTATCAAACTGTCCTTTTTCTTCTCTGTTTTTGACGTGATCTTATTTTACATTTTGGGCTTAACAATTCATGACTATACTTCAAACTTTGTATGTTACTTTTTAGGCATATCTCTGATACAATCTGGTGGCATGTTATCTTAATAGGTGAATTTAATTCATTCACATATTAGTTGATATGGCAGATAGATTTACCTTACTGTATATTAGATAGTATATTTGCATAGCTTTTGTGCAGAACACTTAACACAGCAGGCCTGAGATTATTACCTTAGAAGGTGTGCTTGCAAGATTAATCCTTGGCTGGCATCTGGGAATTTAGATTTTGAAATGGTTCCCAAGAACCTAGTCGCTAATGAACTTTCCAGGTAGACAACATTTCACATGTGTTGCCACATTCATTGCTGGGGCGATGGAAGCTTGCACCTGTTTCCTCTGGACTTTGTCCATTTTCTCTTTGCTAATTTTGCTTTGTACCAATCATTTCACTTTATAAATCTTAGCTATGAGTATGACTATATGCTGAGTAAGAGAACCAGTGAATGTAGTGGTTGTCCTGGGGACTTTTTTTTTTTTTAATTGAAGTATAGTTGACACACAATTTATCGGGGACTCTTTATACAGCTTTATAAGAAACTTTTCTATCTTTGCTCAAACACGTTTAACTTCTAATAATTAGGAAGGATGCAGTTTGCTCCAGGAATTATCCTTTCCAATTACATTATGTAATTCCTTAATCATCTATTTATTTAGATGGCTGCTAGTAATTAATTATTATATAATGATAAAATTATAGTTCCTGGGGTGCCTAGATGGCTTGGTTGGTTAAGCATCTGACTTTGGCTCAGGTCATGATCTCACAGTTCATGTCGGCCTGACAGCTTAGAGCCTGGAGCCTGGAGCCTGCTTCAGATTCTGTGTCTCCCTCCCTCTTTGACTCTCCACTGCTCATTCTCTCTCAAAAATAAATAAACATTAAAAAAATTGAAAGACATCATGGTTCCTGGGGCACCTGGGTGGCTCAGTCGGTTTAGCATCCAACTTCGCCTCAGGTCATGATCTCGTGGTCTTCAGCCCATGGTTTGAGCCCCACATTGTGCTCTGTGCTGACAGCTTAGAGCCTGTAGTCTGCTTCAGATTCTGTGTCTCCCTCTCTCTGCCCCTCCCCCACTCACACTCTGTCTCTTTCTCTCTCTCAAAATAAATAAACATTAAAAAATAATTATCATTCCTTTCTCTTTTCTGATCTGCTGACTCTCAAGTTTAGTTGTTTTATTAACTTTAGTTTCTATCTTTTTTACTGTTAAGTATGCAAAATTCGTTACTTTTCAGCTTCAAATGGGATACTTAGCTCCCATCTTTTAAAGGTAAGAATATAAACATGCTTAATCCATTCCTTGTGTTAGCTGGCCCCTTCCACATTTTATTAGATCTATTATTTTTACAATTTCAAATGTAAAAGCCTGTAAAAAGGACAGTACTGCAAAATGTTTCAAACTGCTCACTTCTAGCTCATCACTTTGTACCTAATTTTCTTGGATGCCTTCTGCCAGTATTCAATAACTCACCTGGGGAGCCTTTTCTTAGAAATTCTTTCTTAAATAACCATGGATCTTCTCCTTGCTCCAATGTGAAGATCAGTTCTGGTTTTGTAAAGCAGTACCCTGTAAAAGGGAAATAATTTAGCACTTGAGTTAGCTGCACAGGTTTCACTGTTTCAGAATGTGAAGGAAGGTATAGTTTCAAAAGTGGAACATTCAGGGTGTTCATGACAATTTTTGTGAGGGGGGAAGTGATAACAAAAAACATTTTTTAAGGTTCATCAAGGATCTATCTTAAAACCCCGAATCACAAGCCTAAGTGATGTTAAATTCTAAAACAGTTAATGCCTGTGTTTCAAACAAGATTTCAGAAAGACTTCCCAAACTTGCCATAACAGAGTGAAAGGAATGGATTTACCCCTCCATAGCAGAATTAAAAAAAGCATACAAACTATATAAACTGGTTTTTAGACTTCAGACACCAGGCAGTCTGGTGGGATACTTACAAGAGGAAAACAAAGGAGGTGAGTCCTATGATTATCACACATCAATAAAAATGAACAAACGTTTAAAAAATTTTTAAAGAGGGACTCCTTGGTGGCTCAGTGAGTTAAGCTTCCAACTTCAGCTCACATCATGATCTCATGGTTCATGAGTTTGAGCCCCACTGGGCTAGTTGCTGTCAGTGTGGAGCCTGCTTCAGATCCTCTGTCCCCTTCTCTGTCTGCCCCTCCTTCGCTTGTGCTCCCTCTCAAAATTAAAATATAGCATTAAAATTTTTTTTTAAAGAGAAAGGAAGAATTGTATTTGAACCCAAGTTAGGACAACTGCTGATACACAATCTTTACAAGGATGAGAGTGCTCCAGGGAAGGAACATTTGGTGCACGGTTATATATGTTCTTTACATAAAGAGTCACAAATCAAGAGGAAGGACATTCCAGAAAGTTACAGACTTTATCTTATGTTTTTATTATGTGCAAGGTTGTATGACTTTAATCTTATGGGAACCAGGGAGAGTTTTTTGTTTTGTTTTTCTTATCTTTATGTTTGGAATGTTCCTTTTTTTTTTTTTTTTTTTTTTTTTTGAAGCAGATGTACGCTTGGGGCAGAAATAGAACCAATGCTTTGAGGTTTTGCCAAGTCATTTTTACCTTGGTAAATGTTAATGCATAGCTTTCCTGGAAGCCCAGGAGCAGGGCCCACAAATATTAAAAGTTGAAAATTTCCCTTATCACACAGCTTACTGCCCAGAAGACTTTACATCCTACATAACAAAAAGATCCAAAAAAAAAAAAAAAAAAAAAAGCCTGGCTGACTCAGTAAGTTGAAATGACATAATTAAATTTTTAGGAATCCATGACAACTAGAATTGTTATGGATAAAACAGCAGAAAAGAAAAAGGTATAGTGATATACAGTCTTAGAGATTTGCAGAAGAGTCTCCTAAATTGTGCAAGTATGTAAGAGATACTTAAGGCTGGGGAAAGACCAGTGAATCAGAGTAGGCTGAAAAAATCAACAAAGCATAAACAAATGTAGGAAGTTTCTGCTGCACCAGGCAGGGTAGAAAAATCTCCTACTTCAAGGTCAATTGGGAAGAATACCAGAAAATTGTCTTTTGCTTAAAAGAGGAGCCAATTAGTCCTAAAGTGAGCTCTGAATCTAATGTAACAAAGCTTAAAACAAGCCTTGAAATGATCAAATTAATTCCAAGTAACTTAATTGTACATCAGAAAACGCCTCAAAAGATTTAAAATAATACAGCAAAACTAGAAACTAACAATATAAAGTTCACAACACCCAGCGGCCAATAACAAATTATGAGTTATGAATAGAAGTAAGGATATACAACTTTTATTGAGGAGAAAATCAATCAGTAGCAACAGAGTAAGAAATAACACATGATAAAATAATCAAGGCCATTTAAAACTGCAAATATACACCATATGTTCAAGAAGAGAAAGAAAAACATAAACATGATGAGAACAAAAGAGAACTTACTTGAAAATTTCCAAACTAAAATCCTAAATATAAAAAATATCTGAAATGAGAAAACCAACCAACCAAACAACAAACAAGAAAACACTAAATGGGATTAAGAAGAGAATAGATACTACATAAGGAATGATAAATAACATAATGGATACTTTAAGGCATAGCAAAACAAAAACAACCCCCCAAAACCCAAAAAACAACAGCAACAAAAAAACTATGAAAGAAGAAACCCAGTGAATAAAGACCAGAAAATAATAAACAGAATTAGTTATCTGTGACCTTTGTGATGATATCAAGTAGTTTAACACAGGTACAATAAAAATTTCAGAAGAAAAAAAGAAAGATAAAAACATTTGAAGAAATAATGGGCAAATGTTCAAATTTTGATAATGTGTACAAACCCTTAGATCCAAAAAGCTAAATGAATTAAGGAGCAGAAAGATGAAGAAACCCACACCAAGGTACACTATAATCACACTGCTAAAAACTGCTGATAATATCAACAGAAAATCTTTTTTTAAAAATATAATTAACATAGTTTTATATTAGTTTCACGTGTACAATATAATCATTCACCAATTCTATATGTTACTCAGTGCTCAACAAGATAAATTTACTTTGCATCCCCTTTATCAATTTCATCATTCCCCCCACTGACTTCCCCTCTGGCAACTACCAGTTTGTTCTTTGTATTTAAGAGTCTGCTCTTTTTGTTTGGCCCTTTTTTGGTTCATTTGTTCATTTGTTTTGTTTCTTAACTTCCAAAAGGAATGAAATCATATGGTATTTGTCTTTCTCTGACTGACTTATTTCACTTAATATTATGCCCTCTAGGTCCATCCATGTTATTGCAAATGGCCAGATCTCATTCCATGAAAAGAAAATCTTAAGTAGACTGGGAAAGGTACAATACATATAGAGGAACAAAAATAAAGATGAATGCCTACTTCTTGTCAGAAATTATATAGCCAGAAAACAATGAGGTGACAATTTTAAAGTACTGAAGGAAAAAAGTCAACCTTTAATTCTATATTTAGCAAATACAACACATTTTCAGTTAAAGCTGAATTTATTACCAACTGACATATATTACAGGAGAAGTTAAAAGAAATGCTCAGACTGAAGAAAATTGCTATCAGGTAGAAATCTGGATTTATACACAGAAATGCAGAGCACCATAACCTGGAAACATGATGATATATAAAATATACTTTTCTTATTTTCAGAATGCTTTTTAAAAAAAAATGGTAAATTATCTTTTAAAATAACACACTGTAAGGTTTATAATATATGTTATACATATGTATGTATATGTAAAATATACAGTGACAATAGCATAAAAAGTAGCAGGTAAAAAATGGAAAACTACAAAATTCTCATAAATGAAGTGAAAAAATTATTTGAAGTAGATTGTGGTAAGTTACCGATGTATGCTGTAAGTGCTAAAGCAACCACATATCCACAGAAGAGAGGCACAGCTAATAAACCACTAATCTAGATGTAATAAATCATTCAAAATATACAATTAATCCAAAAAAGCAGCAAAAGAAAAATGAAAAAAAAATTGCAAAAATAGCTAGCAAATAGCCATATGGTACATTTAATGTTAGACATAAATGGTCTAATCATTACAATTAAAGGCAGAGATTAACAGATATGATATAAAAGCCAGACCCAAATATATGATGTATACAAGAAATTCACATTAAAGACACATATAGGGGCGCCTGGGTGGCGCAGTCGGTTAAGCGTCCGACTTCAGCCAGGTCACGATCTCGCGGTCCGTGAGTTCGAGCCCCGCGTCGGGCTCTGGGCTGATGGCTCAGAGCCTGGAGCCTGTTTCCGATTCTGTGTCTCCCTCTCTCTCTCTGCCCCTCCCCTGTTCATGCTCTGTCTCTCTCTGTCCCAAAAATAAATAAACGTTGAAAAAAAAAATTTTTTAAAGACACATATAAATTATAAGTAAAAGGAACAAATTAAAAGGAACAAAGTAAAATAAACTATAAGTAAAAGAAACAAAAAAAAAAGTACCATGCAAACATAATAAAAAGAAAGTCTTGTTCACAGAAACTTGGCAGGCAAGAAGGGAGTGGCAGGATATATTCAACATGCTGAATTGGAAAAATATGCATAAGAATTCTTTTTTTTTTTTTTTAATTTTTTTTTTCAACGTTTATTTATTTTTGGGACAGAGAGAGACAGAGCATGAACGAGGGAGGGGCAGAGAGAGAGGGAGACACAGAATCGGAAACAGGCTCCAGGCTCTGAGCCATCAGCCCAGAGCCCGACGCGGGGCTCGAACTCACGGACTGTGAGATCGTGACCTGGCTGAAGTCGGACGCTTAACCGACTGCGCCACCCAGGCGCCCCAAGAATTCTTTATCCAGCAGACTGTCATTCAAAATAGAAGGAGAGATAGTTTCCCAGACAAACAAAAACTAAAGGAGTTTATGACCACTAAACCAGCCTTGCAAGAAATTTTAAGGGGGACTCTGAGTGGAGAAAAAACAAAATAAAACATAACAGACCAAAAGCAACAAAGACTAGAAAGGACCAAGAACATCACCAGAAGGACCAACTGTACAGAGAGCACAATGGCACTAAATTCCTATCTTTCAATAATCACTCCAAAGGTAAATGGACTAAATGCTCCAATCAAAAGACATAGGGTATCATAATGGATAAGAAAATAAGACCCATCTATACATTACCTACAAGAGACTCATTTTAGATATAAAGACACCTGCAGATTAAAAGGGGATGGAGAAGCATCTATCTTGCTCATGGATGTCAAAAGAAAGCCAGAGTAGCCATACTTACATCAGACAAAATAGATATTAAAATAGACTGTAATGAGAGATGAAGAAGGGCATTATATCATAATTAAGGGGTTTATGTACCGAGATCTAACAACTGTAAATATTTATGCCCCCAACTTGAAAGCACCCAAATATATAAATAAATTTGTGGTATTATTATTACAAATGAGTTTATATTTATGGTTAACATAACGAAACTCATTTGTAATAATAATAGCATTCAACACCCCACCTGCAGCAATAGACAGATCATCTAAGCAGAAAATCAATAAGGAAACAATGGCATTGAATGACACACTGGACCAGCCTTAACAGATATATTCAAAATATACCATCCTAAAGCAGCAGGATACACATTCCTCTTGAGTGCACATGGAACATTCTCCAGAATAGATCACATATTGGGTCACAAAGCAGCCCTCAACAAGTACAAAAAGAATAATATCACACCATGCATATTTTCAGACCACACCACTATGAAACTTAAAGTCAACAATAAGAAAAAATTTGGAAAGACCACTAATTCTTGGAGATTAAAGAATATCATTAAAGAATGAATGGTTAACAAAGAAATTAAAGAGGAAATTAAAAACTACATGGAAGCCAGTAAAAATGAAAACACAACAATCCAAAACCTCAGGGGTGCAACAAAGGTGGTCATAAGACAGAAATATATACCAATCCAGGCCTTCCTAAAGAAGGAAGAAATGGCTCAAATACACAACCTATCCTTACACCTAAAGGACCTGGAAAAAGAACAGCAAATAAAGCCCCAAAACAGCAGAAGGGAAATAATAAAGATTAGAGCAGAAATCAATGATACTGGGAAAAAAAATAAAACAAAACAGTACAATAGATCAACAAAACTAGGAGCAGATGCTATGAAAGAATTAACAGAATTGATAACCCCTAACCAGATTTATCAAAAAGAACAAGGAAAGGACCCAAGTAAATAAAATCATGAATGAAAGAGAAGAGATAACAACTAACACCACAGAAAGACAAACAATAAGAGAGTATTATAAGCAATTATATGCCAACAAATTGGGCAATCTGGAAGAAACGGACAAATTCCTAGAAACATACAAACTACCAAAACTGAAACAGGAAGAAATTAAAAATTTGAACAGACCTAGGGTGCCTGGGTGACTCAGTTTGTTGACTGTCTAACATCAGCTCAGGTCATGATCTCATCATTCATGAGTTCAAGCCACACATCAGGCTTGCTGCAGTCAACCTGTCAACGCAGAGCCCACTTCAGATCCTCTGTCCCCTTTTCTCGCTGCCCGTCTCCTGCTTACGTTCTCTCTCTCAAAAACTAAATAAAAAACATTTAAAAAAAAGAAAATTTGAATAGACCTATAACCATTGAAGAAATTGAATCAGTAATAAAAAATCTCCAAACAAGAGTCCAGGGCCAGATGGCTTTCCAGGGGCATTCTACCAAACATTTATATTTTTTATTTATTTTTAAAAGTTTATTTTTTGAGAGAGAGAGAGAGAGCACGTGCACAAGCAGAGGAAGAGGAAGGAGAGGAGGGGGAGGAGGAAGGGGATGAGAAGAGAGAGAGAGAGACAGAGAATCCCAAGCAGGATCCGCACTGTCAGTGACAGCCCAACACGGGGCTCAAACCCACAAACTGAGATCATGACCTGAATCGAAATCAAGAATCCGAGGCTTGACTGACTGAGCAACCCAGGCATCCCTCTACCAAACATTTAAAGAGAGTTAACACCTATTCTTTTGAAGCTGTTAAAAAAAAAAAAAAAAAAAAAAAAAGGAAAACTTCCAGACTCATGAGGCCAGCATCACCTTGAGGCCAGCATCACCTTGATTCCAAAACCAGACAAAAACTCCACTAAGAAATAGAGTTACAGGTCAATATTCCTGATGAACATGGATGGAAAAGTTCTTAACAAGATATTAGAAAATTGAATCCAACAGTACATGAAAAGAATTATTCACGATGATCAAGTCGGATTTATTCCTGGGCTGCAGTGTTGGTTCAATATCTACAAATCAATCAACATGATATATCACATTAATGAAAGAAAGAATAAGAACCATACAATCCTCTCAACAGATCCAGAAAAAGCATCTGATAAAATACAACATCCATTCTTGATAGAAACCCTCAACAACGCAGGGATAGATGGAACATACCTCAATATCATAAAGGTCACATATGAAATACAGCTAATATCTTCCTTAATGGGGAAAAACAGAGAGCCTTTCTTTTTCCTTTCTTTTCTTTCTTTTTTCCCTATACTCAGGAAAAGGACAAAGATGTCCACTCTCACCATTACTATTTAACATAGTATTGGAAGTCTTAGACTCCCTCAGCTAACAATAAGAAATAAAAGGCATCCAAACTGGCAAGGAAGAAGTCAAACTTTCGCTATTTGCAGACAACATGATACTCTATGTAGGAAACCAGAAACACTCTATCAAAAAATTGCAGAACTAATACATGAATTCAGCAAAGTGACAAGATATAAAATCAATGTACAGAAATTGATTGCATTTCTATACACCATTAATGAAGCAGCAGAAAAAGAAATCAAGGAATTGATCCCATTTGCAATTGCACAAAAAACAGACACCTAGGAATAAATCTAACCAGAGATAAAAGATCTGTACTCTAAACTATAGAACACTTATGACAGAAACTGAAGGGGACACAAAGAAATGGAAAAGCATTCCATTGGATGGATTGGAAGAACACTGTTAAAATGTCTATACTACCCAAAGCAATTGATACATGTAATGCTATCACTATCAAAATACCACCAGCATTTCTCACAGAACTAGAACAATTCTAAAATCTGTAACAATTCTGGCTTTCAAGCTATATTATAAAGGCATAATCATCAAGACAGTATTGTATTGGCACAAAAACAGACACAGAAAACCCAGAAACGGACCCACAACTATATGGTCAACTAATCTTTAACACAGCAGCAAAGAACATCCAATGGAAAAAAGACAGTCTCTTCAACAAGTGACACTGGGATAACTAGATAGCATCATGCAGAAGCTTGAAACTGGACTGCTTCTTTATACCATACACTAAAATAAATTCAAAATGGATTAAAGACCTAAATGTGAGACAGGAAACCATGAAAATCCTACAGGAGAACACAGGCAGCAATCGCTTTGACCTCCATTGGAACAACTTCTTACTAGACATGTCTCTCCAGAGGCAAGGGAAACAAAAGCAAAACTGAACTATTGGGACTTCCTCAAGTTAAAGAGCTTCTGCACAGTGAAGGAAACAATCAACCAGACTAAAAGGCAACCTACAGAATGGGAGAAGATATTTGCACATGACAAATTTGATAAAGGGTTAGTATTCAAAATCTGTAAAGAGCTTATCAAACTCAACACCCAAAGAACAAATAACCCAGTGAAGAAATGGGCAGAAGACATGAATAGACATTTTTCCAAAGAAGACATCCAGATTTTTAACAGACACATGAAAACATGCTCAACATCACTCATCATCAGACAAATACAAATCAAAACCAAGATGAGACACCATGTCACACCTGTCAGAATGGCTAAAATTAACTACATAAGAAACAACAGGTGTTGGTGAGGATGCAAGAAAAGGCA